TTTATATGAACTAATGGTGTCCATAGACTAACATAAACCACCTCAAACTATTAGAGTACATGGCATGTGTATAATACTACGAAGTACATGTATATTAGAAAAGCAATTAGCAGCACACATACAATGCACACCAATTAATACAGCATTGATTATACATGGTGTTCTTTACAGCTCAACAATTACAGCCATAACAGTAATGTAATTACAGCCATACATAGACTTGTTGGTGGTACAATACTGCACAGTGTTGGTGTACATATCTTACATCCTGTACAGGTTGCTATGCAATCATTGACACATACTGGCACTATAGAGTGTACTGATGATATCACAGGGTTGGGTTGGGCATTCATGCAATACTACTATCAGTTGCAAGTTACTTCCAGTGTGATGCAGCAATTCACTTAGCACAAAGCCTCTACTGATCATTCTTAGTCTCCACAGTATGTCTGATGATGAACCTAGGGTAAGCCAATAGCTATATACAGTCATGCATGTATTCTCTTCATTAGTTTGACTATCATCCAGGCAAGTGTCTGTTTTGTAAAGAAGAAACAGAAGTTCGGAGTGTTAGAATATTTGAATGCTGGGACTGGCATAAATTTTGCAGGTCTTGTCTCAACTCTTCATTGTTGAAGCACTGCCCGATCCATAGTATGTCTCCAAGAAATCCAGAAAAACCATTAACACATTCAAAATAGATATTGTATATAACAAGCTAACAGTGTTTTATAATTCAAAAGTTATATTCTGATTTTAATAATATTTAAAGAAGATATAAATGATAATTGTCTCTCATATAGTTTGTTACATAATGTATGCATTTTGAAGAATGTTTATTTAACATGAACTAAGTGAGTGTGAAGTTCATTGTTGCTAAGTTGAAGCATTAATGAATTATTATAGTTCTGGGAAGTGGGTTAGTCCTGAGGCGATGACTCTCTCCTCCTTTAGACCTCCCAGTAACCTTATTCATGTGTACACTGCTGTTATTCTTTGAGGGTAATTGTCACACCAGCTGTCCAATCCAGTCAGCAACGTCTACACCCCGATGAAACACCGATAACAATAATACACACCTGTATACATGTACATGTGTGAGAGCGGAAGATATGTGAATACTCTTGTGGGCCGGATACATGAAATCTAATATGCTGATACAGCAACGCTAGCAAGCGAAAACAAGCCAGTAAGACATGACACAGCAAACGAGAAAATCCCCCACAACAATGCACATCCATCAACGATATAAACGAAAGAAAAAAAACGGAATAAGGTAAGTATTTTTGATACAGTTTCCAATACAATGGCAGTGAGTCCTTTTGATCTAAACCTCACAAAATTCTCTCTTGTTAGTACTATACTGTAGCTCCAGAGTCCAAAGCAAAGTGCACTTGCTGTAATGTGAGATATGCTGACTATAATGTCAGAGTCAATGGAAGTGACACATTCACTGAGCAGTACTGCAATGAGTGCAAAGCCAATCATGTTAAGTCGTTGAAGTTTCCTGGAAAGGACCTCATATACTCTGCAATAAGAGGAAGCCACCCAGTAAATCCTCAACCACCAAAAGTAATTAATTGACTTCGTTAATACCTTTTGATGTTTTCTTTCCAGAAACCAGTCAGTAGTAGAAACTGGCATGGTCAATGTGACTGCTGTCGGTTCTACTATTATGAGACGGCATTGACAAAGCTCCAGTTTGAGTGCAAAGACACCTCACATTCAAAAACATGTTGTCTTGAGTGTGCAGCAGATCACAGATCTTGTCGCCATGACTATTCCATTGCCACTATGCCCTCGCTACACGACTTGCTAACAAAGTTGATGAAAGTTGATACCTACAAAGGACCAATAACACCATACAATGAATATTAGATACTAATACATTATTTTTGTGACTAGATTTTTTTGTAGAAACACACTGTTTTTGTTTTTCGTATTTTTTGAAAATCTAACAATGAAGTGCAGTCTACATGCAATAAAAGTATCATTCCATTTAATAGGACAAGACAAATTGTACGTGTAACTATATAGTATCTACAGAAACAATAGTACTAGGAATGAACTAAGTATACACTCATGTACATATCTATGATCAATCAAGATGGGTAGGGATTCTAGCCCACATACTTCAGTACTGATAAAGCAATTTGACGTCCAACTACTTAATACCGGTATGCTTGAGAAAATAGATATTTGAGTATAAGGTGCTTGTTTGTTGCTTTAAAGTTATGGCAGTGAGTAGCTAATCGATTAGAATATTACAATACTGTATTTTATAGAGTGCACCTTCTAAGAAGTGCTCATGCTGCAGGTGGAGAGATCCAGATTATAATGCTTATAATGAAGGAAGCTCTCATATTACAGCTAGTTACTGCAAACAGTGTAAAGAGCTCCACAAAACATCAGCTACATATGCTGGAAGGTCATTAAAATATAAGAAGTACAATAGTCCAAAAACATCTTCCGAGACATCATTGTTTGAGACATCATCTTCAGAAACACCTTCAGAAAGTGATGAAGAACCAGAGTTACAAAACTGCTTTTGCTGCGAAGATGATTATGAAGTGTCAGCAGTCATTACAATGCAATATTTATGTAAAGACAAAGATCATCATATCAATGTCTGCTATAACTGTGCTAAGCAGCACAGGACATGCCCTTATGACTGTGCTAACATGACACTGGATTCAATGAAAGATTTTGTTGACATGCTAAGAGATAAAAATATTGACAAAAAACCTTATAAAAAGTAATTAGAACATTGTGATTTTGTATAACAATGATACTTAATTGAGTATTTAGTATAGCTGAGAGCATAGAAACCTTACTAACAATGTATTGTAATAATGATATGGGCATGGGCTAGTATTGGGGAGGACTTAGTGTTGAGTAAACAGCCACTATAAAGATATTAACAATAAGAGTACATATCGGTAGAGGTTTATTTGTCCTCTAAATCTCAAAGATATAAGAGCCAATTTGTGGAACAGTTTTAATGCATAGCAAATAGAAAAAGACAATATTAGACAACTCCAAATTCCTATCCTTTTAATTCATGGAAGCCTTACTACTCGGTAACATTATGTAAATATATTCATGATCAGAGGAATATTATCATGTGAGGCACGAGCCTCTCCTCCTATTCCCTCCTACGTATACACACAATAACCACAATATACAAAGACGTAAGGGGCTCTCCCTGGTATCGTCCCGATGCCGATAATGATACAGCATTTGCTAATTATGCCATAAACACAAATTCTAAGTATAAAAGAGTTACACCAAATGTACACAAAATGTATCAATTATTGTGCTCCTAATAACTGACTGAGTCTTGAGAATGGCAACTGTGAGTTATAACTATCTATAGTATTGTGATATTATAAGGTTGTGACACTTAGGCACACAAACAGTCATCTCCTCCTAAATGCCATTGTTGTAAATCACGAAATGCAACAGGGAAGTATTCCAACGAGTCCTCTTATTGCAAAGAGTGTGCAAGTGATCAANCAAAAAGAGGAACATTGCTGAGCAAGTATCCAGCAATACCCCAATGTTTTGTAAGTAGTAGTAGGAATAGCAATAATAAAATAATAAATATTAAAACAGGGCAGTGTTGGACCATATGAAAATTTTACCAAATGTCAATGCTGTCAATTTGCTTTCACATCAAAAAAAGAGGTGACAACACTATTCTACAAAAATGAAGACAGATTCAACTACTGCTACAATTGTGCCCCAAACCACAAAGTGAGCCCAAATGATCCCGACTTTGGCTTAAACCATGAAGGCCTAAGACAACTATCAAAGGTTATAAGAGAAAACAAATAACTATATGGAACAATTATTGCTAAGTGTTAATCTATACTATTATGTATCATTTTCATAGCTGATAGTACATGTATGTATGTGTCAAATATATAAACATTTTATTATATCCTTAGCAACAAATACATTTATGAACTTAATCTGAAATACAACATGCGCTTTTAGTTGTAAAACAACAAAAAGCTGGCAATCAAGTTCTATAGAAAAGGCAACATTAGACAACTTCACCTTTTAATTCATGGAAGCCTTACTACTCGGTAACATTATGTAAATATATTCATGATCAGAGGAATATTATCATGTGAGGCACGAGCCTCTCCTCCTATTCCCTCCTATGTATACACACATAACCACAATATACAAGACGTAAGGGGTTCTCCCTGGTATCGTCCCGATACCGATAATGATACAGCATTTGCTAGCTACACACAAATTCTAAGTATAAAAGAACCACAGCTAATATACACAAAAATGCATCAAATTTATTGTACTCCTAAAACTGACTGAGATTCTTGAAAATGTCAACTGTAAGTTTAACTGTCTACCGTGATATTTTAAGTTCGTGATAATTACACTGTATATTTACAAACAGACTAAATGCTACTGTTGTAACTACCGCTATGCAACAGAAGAATATTCCAATGGTTTTTACTGCACACAATGTGCAAGTGATCAACCAAACAAAGGAAGTTTTGTGGATGATCACACACCAATGCAGCAACTTTTTGTAAGTAGTAGCAATGACAATATCATTATTAATTACTATAATGCTATAACAGGGTAGAGTTGGACCATTTGAAAAGGAAAAGTACACCCAATGTCATTGCTGCCAATTTTTCATCACATCACAACAAAATATAGCAACATTATTCTACAAGTGTAATGACAGTTTCAACTTCTGCAATGATTGTGCTCCAAACCACAAGGTGTGCCCAAAACATCCTGCCTTTGGATTAAGCCAAGAAGGCCTAGTTCAATTATTGAGGCTAATAAAAAATAACCAAGAATAACAACTATAGAACAAATTAAAACTTTATTGCTAGAGTGTCAATATGAGGCATTTATTACTATACTAATACTATTATTACTTTATTAGCCTTTTTAATGTATAGCAATAAATTTATTTAGCAATATTTCATTCTTAAAATTCTGTTTATATTCATGAATATGATCTGCACTATACTACTTTATAAAATGATAAATGAAACATTGTAAAAAGCTGGTGAGGAAAGCTTTATAGCTATGAGCAAAACTATCTATAGCAGTGTGATATTATATGACTATGCACTTAGGCACACAAACAGTCATCTTCATAAATCCATGAAGGCCTAAGACAACTATCAAAGGTTATAAGAGAAAACAAATAAATATATGGAAAACCTATTGCTAAGTGTTTCTATAATACTATTATGTATCATTTTCATAATTGATACCATGTGTCAAATACAAACCTTTATCATAAATCCTTAGCAACAGATATGAACATTCATAACTTAATCTGAAATACAACATGCACTCTTAGTTATAAAACTTCACAAAACAAAAAGCTGACAATCAAGTTCTATAGAAAAGGCAACATTAGACAACTCCACATTCCTTCCTTTCAATTCATGGAAGCCTTACTACTCGGTAAGATTATGTAAATATATTCATGATCAGAGGAATATTATCATGCAGAGCCCGTCTCCTTATTCCCTACGTATTACCCACAAAAACCACAACTCTTGTCATATCATATAAGACGTAAAGGGGCTCTCCCCGGTATAGTCCCGATGCTGATAATGATATGTCATATACAGAAATTCTTAAGTATAAAAGACTCACATCAAATACGTACAGACATGCATCAAATTATTGTCTTCCTAAAAAATTGACTGAGATTCTTGTAAATGGCAACTGTGAGTTTAAGTATCTGTTGTGATATTTTTACGTGCGGTACCTACATGTAGATGCTCAAAGCTATCAGCCTGCCACCTCCTCCTTTTTGCAATTGTTGTAAATTCCGTTATGCAACAAAAAAATACCTCAATGGATTTTCCTACTGCAGACAATGTGCAAGTCATCAACCAAACAAAGGAAAGTCTCTGACTGATTATGCAAAAGAGTATCAATATTTTGTAAGGAAGCAATACAATAAAACAGTACCAAGAGAAGATAATAATTAGAGGAGCAGTGCTGCTACATCACTGGATAGAAATGGAATGTCATATTAATTCTGTGGTTGTTTCAGTATTTCATCTGAGTAGTTATTAAATAGCTAACAATAACTACTCAAATAAAATTTAAAATAACCAGAATGTGACTTTTCATTTCTAAGTGGTGACATAAGAGATCATTTAGCCAGTAGAACACTCTCCTGTAATTATTATCTACTCTTGATACTTCTTTTTTTACTATAATAACTGTATACTACAATAGGATAAAGTTTATGATTACCCCGTATGTCAATGCTGCGAATTTGCATTCACATTAAGTAAAGAGATGGCAACACTATTTTATGAAAATGGCGAAAGATTTGACTACTGCTACAATTGTGCCCCAAACCACAGGGTAAGCCCGAATGATCCTGGCTCTATATTAAACCATGAAGGCAATAAAGAACTATTGAAGGTTATGAGAGAAAACAAATAACAATTATATATTAACTATGGAACAACAACAAACTATAGAACAATTATTAAAATCTAGTTTATTACATAATTTATTACAAGGCTGATTTATAAAAATAAAATTTAATAGTAATAAATGTATAGCAACAGCTATGAACATTCATGAACAAATCTGAAATATCCACGCACTCTTTAAGCTGGTAATGGAATTTTCACAAGAATTAACTCATTCAGGTTTTAAAGTACTAGACACAAGCAATTGGTAATAAGGTATAACTAATCCAAACAACCATACTATGCCACACTGTCATGTGAATGATAAAAACTGACTCATGTACCTGTGTATTTAACGGGAAGCCTTATTACCTGGCATTTGCTAGTCAAAATATATTCATAATAAGTGCAACGCTAAAGCAACATCTGAGTAAGAATAGCCCACCTACAATAAGCTAAGCTGACGTAAGACGGTAAAATCCCAATAACGCCCCATTGTAATGTAAACCATGACAAACTGCCAATCGAGCAGTCGGAAATTTCTCGTTAAGACCAAAATAGAAATTATGTCATACAAAAACTTGCAAGTATAAAAGAACCACACCTAACGTACACAAACATTCATTAAATATATTGTGTCCTAATAACTGACCAAAGTTCTTGAAAATGTCTTACGTAAGTTAAAACTAATTGGGTAGTTCAAGCTAAGCAAGTTCTATTATAGTTTAGTGTACCAAAATGTGTTGACTGTGAACAGCGTCATGCAACTGCAGAATATACAAATGGTTCATACTGCACAGAATGTGCAGAATTTCAACCAAAAAAAGGATCCTGGGAAAGAAATTACCGTGAAATAAAGGATAATAATTTTGTAAGTACTATGAAAATTTATAGCACAGAAGTATTACATAATTATGTAGAGAAGTCCCTTCCCAGGTGAAGTAGTATATTGGTGTGATTGCTGTAAACTTGGGGCTACATCACTAAATGGTGTCACTACACTATTCTACAACTGTAGTCACAAATTCCAATTTTGCCTTCAATGTGCTACAAAACACAAAGTATGCCCCAAGGATCCTGGATTTGGATTGAGTCAAGAAGGCTTAAGTCAACTACGCCAAGTTCTGTTAAAGAGATAACAGTAAGGCATTATTGCCAGAAAACTCATTGGATTTTTTGGTTTTGCTTCTATGAGAGCATACATATAAATTAAAAGTTGTTAGTATTAACAGTTAATTAAATTGAGTGACAAAGATTAATTACTTGCTTAGTACATATTTTAGTACATATTTTTAGTACATTGTAATATCAATATTATTATTATTATTATTAAAAAAATTATGATTTGAAAAGGCTACCAAGCTGCCAACCTGCACAAGAATAAGTATTTCAGCCACAATTACAATACATATTATAGCCACTAACTACCAAGTACAAGTATATGCATCCATTCAAAACACAGCCCATTATCTTAGGGACCACATTTCACAATCTAACCAGTAGTTAGTACTATACAAAACTCATGTACATATAAGTACAGCAAAGGAATGTGCATGGTGGATTGTACCAACTCACATATCAGTAAAAAAAGCAGCATGTGATGTAATATACACATCATGCTCCAATCTTGAGTTGAAGGGGGTGGCAGCCTGGCCCCGAGACTAGTCTTTTAAGAGATTTGAGTAAAGCTCACTTGATTGGCTGGAGTCTGTAAATAGAATGATTGAGTATAAAAAGTAGTGCTGATTTACCAGTTATACCAGTCGCATGAACAGCACCAAATTGAACTAGTAAAGCCATTAAGTCAGGAAAGGGGAGCAGGGCTCTTTTTCAAGAAATGAGACACGTGATTACAAAATTTATAACAATAGTTTAATAATTGAATTAATAATTCTTGCCACTCCACGTGGTTTCACGTGGCAATCAGTGGGTTTGAATGCTAATATTAGAATTATTATTTTGAGAAAGAGGGATTGTTAGATTAGGCAATGATGTTGAACTCTGAAGAGGTGACACCAGTTTATCAGTAGAAGTGTCATCACTACCTCTGTTCTCTTCTTTCACTTTGCTCTTTCTCGGGATCCTTTTTACGAAACACCCGGAACTCATAGATACACTGAACATCATTGCACTGTATCACCAATCCATAAGGCGGTGGCTTCTGTTCCTTTGGATTATGAGTTGAGGATCTACAACTTTCCTGATACTTTTTGAGATCCTTGGGCTCAATTTTTGTCACATCTCCATTAGGACCCACTGAATAAACGGGAACATTGCTTTTAACCAAATCGTCACTCACTTCTTCTTCTATGTCACTGAATATTCTACAATATAGTTGAATAAAAAAGAATGATAAGCAACACAATACTGCAGTATATACCCTTTAGGAGGCTGATATTGAATGAAACGGCCAGTACATGACTTTGGTCCTATCATTAATGGGCGTATTGCCAGTAGAATTGCACGATCACTGAGATAGCCCTCGTGCTCATGAATCTTCTCAATCAATAAATTGGCTATACATAAATTTTAAAAATTATTTATAAAGTAAACTTCCATGATTTACTTGTGACTCGCTTTGACTGGTCTGTTATTGGTCCTATAAGTATCAGATTAAGCTGACGACCACCCTCTATTTCATTAAACAAGTTAATAATGAGTTTTTCAGACTAAAAGACCAACAGTAACAAATATTGCTATGTGTATGCCAATATATTACCTTTGTAATACTCTGAGCAGTTTGACTGAATATGTTAGCTGGATATGTGAAAGTGCGGAAGTTTGCCTGATAGTTGTCCTCACGGCAAATTTCTTTTTGATTTCGATAAAATTTGTTAAAATGCACTGTCACTGACTACAGTAAAAATTATAGTATTAGAATCAACACATGTGAATTTGTCATGCATCGTACATTGTAAAATACTCTTGCCAATATCAAAGAATGACCAATCCTGTTTCCAAAAGAAATATCCATAGCCAGGTCGTTAGCAGGAGCAAATTTGAGGAAACTAAAAAGGACACTCCTCAATGGAGAATGAGACTACATAGAATGAGATTTAATCCTATAATAAACTAGGAGTTCAACTAACCCAAATTTTTTTATCAACACCTGTGCGTTGCTCAAAATACGAGTATACTTGCTCTTCAACATTAACTTCGCCAAAATTTGATTCACGGAAATACTGCCTGAAATCCATCTTTCTCTTCCATTTCTCCTTTACATCTTCAATAGATAAGCTAGCTACAGAAAAAGAAATATAAATAACATAGTTAAATCATTAAAGCTTACCTTCTAATGCATCAATTTGGTTGTTGAGTAAATGTGAGTGGACACTGTTGAGCAAGTAAAGGAGCTCGTGATCTTGGGATGTTCGCTCATCCAAATCCTTGTGTATTTGTATATCTTTAAATACTTGCCCATGACCGGAATCAGCATAAAACAGTCGAGCTACTAAAAAATCAAGATCTGTGTGTATGCGTGGAATGAACATTTGCTTTAGTCCATTCCAAAAACCAGTGAAGCAAGGACAGC